TGAGCTTTTGAAAAGCCTCCTCTGCCTCAGGTTTCCACTCAAAGGCTTTTCGGAGAGTTTTGAAAAAGGGAGACATTTATCTGCAGATTTGGAGACAAACCTATTTAATGCTGCGATCCTTCCATTGAGGCGCTGGAGCTCCTTGGTTGAAGAGGGTGACTTCATGTCAAGAATGGCCTTGATCTTGTCAGGGTTTGCCTCAATTCCCCTCTGATTGACCATAAAGCCCAGGAATTTACCAGACCCCACACCAAAGGCGCACTTCTCAGGGTTGAGCTTCATGTGATAGGACCTCAGGACGTTGAAAGTTTTTTGGAGGTGATCAATGTGGTCTACTGCTGCAAGGCTCTTTACCAGCATGTCATCCACGTACACCTCCATTGTTTGCCCGATCTGAGACTGGAACATCTTGTTCACCAGCCGTTGGTAGGTTGCTCCAGCGTTCTTTAGCCCAAAGGGCATGACCCTGTAGCAGTATGTCCCCTTTGGCGTGATGAATGATGTCTTCTCTTGGTCTGGGGGATGCATGCTAATCTGGTTGTACCCCGAGTATGCATCCAGGAAAGTGAGCAACTCATGCCCAGCGGTGGCGTCGATGAGGAGGTCAATCCGCGGCAGTGGATAACTATCTTTTGGGCATGCCTTGTTCAGTTCTGTGAAGTCGACACAGAGACGCCACTTCCCATTAGCCTTAGTGACCATTACTACGTTGGAGAGCCACTCTGGATACGCCACTTCCCTGACTGCTCCGTTATCAACCAGCTTTCGAATCTCCTTGTCCATGGCTTGGGCCCTTTCAGTGGAGGCTCCCCTTAACTTTTGGCGAACAGGCTTGTACCGCGGATCGACATTGAGGTGGTGGGTAGCTACTTCCGGGTTGATGCCCTCAAGGTCCTCATGCGACCAAGCAAAGATGTCCATATTACGCTCCAAAAATTCAATCAACAGGGGAGCCAGCTCTTCAGAAAGGGAAGAGCCAATGTAAATTCTTCTGTCTGGGTGCTCCTTTTCTAAGACCACAGGGATGAGTTCCTCGACTGGTTCTCCTCTTTCTGTTGCGGAGTCATCCCTTGGGTCAAGGACCTCAACTTGCAATGCTTCTTGGGGCTTCCTAGCCTTCATAGAGGATACATAGCACTCTCTGGCTGTTATTTGGTCCCCTTTGACCTCTCCGACTCCATTTAAGGTTGGAAAGCGGAGAACGAGATGGTAGGTAGAGGGCACAGCTCTTAATGTGTTAAGAGCTGGTCGCCCTAATATGATGTTGTAGGCTGACGGGCATTCTATTACCAGGAAATTGACCATGACTGTGGAGCTTCGGGGTGTTACTCCGGCGGTGACGGGAAGTGTGATGGATCCAAGGGGATACACTTTTTCCCCTGAGAATCCAATGAGGGGTGACCTGATTGGCTGTAGCCTCTCCCTGCCCAGGTTGAGCTTGTCATAGGCCTCTGCAAATAGGATATCTGCAGAGCTGCCACTATCTACCAGGATCCTGTGCACATGAAAGTTGGCCACCGTCATGGTGAGCACCAAGGGGTCATCATGGGGGTGTTGAATTTCCTCCAGGTCCTTGTTTGAAAAAGATATGACCTCGTCGCTTTCCTGCTTCGGCACCTTAGATGGGCGCATCTCGTAGACATGTCTTGCCTTCCTGGCATGGGCCTTCATCGCGGAAAGTGATTCTCCTCCACCTGCTAGTCCCCCTGAGATAGTGTGGATTTCCCCCACAGGCTGCTGATCTTCCTGGTTGTGAGGTTGTGGTACACGTTCCCTTCCAGCAACGTACTGACGCAAGTGACCACGCTGGATGAGCTCCTCAATTTGCCTCTTGAGGTCGTAGCAATCGTCGGTGTCATGCCCGTGGTCACGATGGAAGCGGCAATACTTGTTAGGATTTCTGCGATTTGGAGGAGACTTCATTTTTCCAGGCCACTTTATCGCGGGGTCATCCTGGATCTGGAATAGGATGTGTTCCACGGAAGCATTGAGGGGAGTGAAGGGTTGACGGTTCCTCTGAGGAGCAGGACCTAGCCGGTCCTTGACAGGAACTTTCTCTGTCCTGCCATATTTGTTGCTGGTTTCCTTCTTATCGTCCTTCTCTCTTTCCTTCCTTTTCTCACCTGCTCTGGAAGACTCACCCCGCCTGGCCCTTGTGATGTCTTCTGCGTTTATGTACTTTTGGGCCTTGGCTAGCAGCTCTGGCATGCTCTTCGGTGGGCGCTTCAGAACTGAGAAAAGGAAACTTGATGAACGGAGGCCACCCAAGAAGGCGGTCATCGTCACCTTGTCGTCGGGTTCATCAACTTGGAGTACCTCCTCGTTAAAACGAGTGAGGTAACTCCTCAGGCTCTCCTCGCGGTCCTGCTTTATACTAAGCAGGTGCGTAACTGGCTTCTGGTGGCGACGCCCTCCTATGAAGTGTGAGACGAATGATCTGCTAAGCTCGGCGAAAGAGGAAATAGAGGCGGGGGAGAGCTTAGCAAACCACTGTCGGGCAGACCCCTTTAATGTGGTTGGGAATGCCCTGCACATGATTTCGTCTGGTACGTTGTGCAATTGCATCAAGGTCTTGTAAGTGTCGAGGTGGTCCAGTGGATCCTTTGTTCCATCAAAGGTCTCCACAGATGGCATTTTGAACTTCTGAGGGAGGGGGTAGTTTGCTACATCAGATTTGAAAGGGGTATCAGTACGCCTTACCAGGTGGTCAACAGTCTCGGGTCCCTGTGCCTTCATGGCGTTGAAGACATCACCGAGTTGATTTTGTACCTCCTTTATCTTCTCGTCCCAATGATTGGGGGCTCCTCTGGAATGATCATGGAAGTGGCTTCCATGCCCCATGTTTTGTTTTTCACCCTCATCCTCCTGGAGATACCTCTCCCTGGAAAGCAAGGGGAGGGGGAGGTGCAGCTCCCTCATGTTGGGCTTCCCGAAGTGGGGTGCCCAATGGGGCACCCGGGCGTGGAGCAACAGGGCGTGGTGCTCCTTGATGTCCAGGATGTGGAGCTCCTTGGGGTGCTCTATGTTGTGCACCTCCGTGGGGCCCTCCATGTTGTGCACCTCCATGTGGTGCTCCACGTTGTGCACCTCTGTGTGGTGCTCCACCTTGGGTCCTCCATGTTGTGCACCTCCTTGTGGTGCTCCACCTGGGGTCCTTCATGTTGTGTACCTACTTGTGGTGCTCCTCCTTGTCCAGCAAGTATGAGTTGCAGTAACTGTTGGTTTTGAGCAACCAGTTGCTGCATGGTCTCCAATATTTGTTGGGGATTCGGGGCTAGAATATCCGGAACAGGGTTGATAGGCGGAGGTGCAACCTCCTCCTCTCGTGGAGGATTGTCTTCGTGTTGGTTCATGGATCGAGTAGTGATCGCCATTAGTTAATGGACGTAATGTTCAGGAGTGAGAATTTTGTCAATTTCCCACAGACGGCGCCAAACTGATGATGCACAAAAATGGTTTTGCACACCACCTGTCAAGTATAGATAATAAATGCAATGAAATCAACAAAAGAATTAAAGAAGACACAATTTATAGTGGTTCGGTCAATTCGACCTACGTCCACTCTTCAATGGCTTCAGTCGCCGGGTATTTTATTGATTCAAAGGTATGGAGAATGGAGATACAAGCTTTGAGAGAGAGAATGGAGAATCAAAGAAAATAGTAATCTCCGGTAGTCGGTTCGTCTTCTGTAAGTCTCTGATGGAGCGTGTGTGTTTTTTTTCTTTCTACCAGCTTGGAGCTATTTTATAGCAGCTAAGAGATCATTCTTGTGGAGATCATGACATATCCTCAAGGCTTCTTTATCGCAGCTAAGAGATTATCTTTGGTGGAGATCACGACTTATCCTCAACGGAAGGAAGAGGTTGGGGAGCTCTTCATGAAACGTGGTCAAAGATTGGACCGTTTTCCTTCCTTCGGTGGTGCGGATAAGCTTCCCGTGCTCTCCTCTTGGTGACGTGCTAAGCAAGAAGTCTAACCGGCCTTGGGCTGTCTTGGACTTGGTGGATTTGGACCGTTTCCTTTGGCGGTGCAGATAAGCTTCCCGTGCTCTCCTCTTGATGACGTGCTAAGCAAGAAGTCTAACCGGCCTTGGACTGTCTTGGACTTGGTGGATTTGGACTGTTTCCTTTGGCGGTGCAGATAAGCTTCCCGTGCTCTCCTCTTGATGACGTGCTAAGCAAGAAGTCTAACCGGCCTTGGACTGTCTTGGACTTGGTGGAATCAAATGAGGTTGGGCTCCTCAACCGGGGTTGGACTTTAATACGTAAATTGGACTATTTGGGCTTAACCCATCAAATGGATTCAATATCCGCCTATCATTTCTGATGTGATTCATGTGTGCAATGAACAATCAATGAAACAAAATAAAAGAATATAAGAATTTATGTGGTTCAATAACTTGCCTACGTCCACAATCCTAGGACGGCTGTCTTGTTTTTATTCAACCCTAAATTAGGGTTGCAACTTAACTTAAATATGTTACAACCCTAATTAGGGCATCCACAAGGCACGTGCTACTCCGACAACTAGCCCATTATCCCCTTGAACCTAGTGTAACTCTCCATACTATGAATATGAGCCACCTATCCCAACAATTACTTTGTCACATATCTTCAAAAAAAGCTTAGTACTTGCATTAATCACTACAAACTGAAGATTCTTTAGTATTAGGATTGGTGCACTAGAATCCAATGCAATGAGTCCAAAAGCAATACTTAGCCTCTCACTGTGATATGTGAGTGCATCTTGCTTCTCTTCCTTTTCAGTGTCTATCGACACTTCTCTGGTTCATGGCCTACAGCCATAATCTTGCAATCTTCTATTCTGGCTTCAAATAACTCTCTTTTTATTGTGGGAACACTGAATGTTAGGAAGCCTCACCACCAATCCAAGCAATAACAATCCTCTCTTTAAAATGATGAAATCGATTTTGATCTCTTACTATAGTCTCTCTGTCATCATCTACCTTGGAAATAAGCTTCCTACTTGCATGGCAATCATCACAAACCCGAAGATTCTTTATAACTCAGGATTGGTACAATGCACCCAGATGCAATGAATCCAAAAGGAATAGCCAGCCTCTGAATGTGTGAGAGGGCATCTTCCTTCTCTTCCTCTTCAGTGCCAAATATTACTTTTCTGGTTCTTGGCCTATGACCATATTCTTTGCATCTTCTAGTCATCTCTGCTAGCTTTAGTGTATCACTTTTGATTGTGGGAACCTTGTAAATGTTAGGAAGCCTCTCACCAGTAATCCAAACAAGAACAAGCCCCCTCTTTAAAATGATGAAATCAATTTTGATCTCTTACTATAATTTCTCTGTCATATATCTTTGAAATAAGCTTAGTAATTGAATGGCAATCACTTCAAACTCGAAGATTCTTTATTATACGGATTGGTGAGCTGGAATCAGATGCAATGAGTGCAAACGCAATAGCTAGCCACTCACTGTGGTATGAGAGTGCATCTTCCTTCTCTTCCTTTTCAATGTCAAACACACTTCTCTGGTTCTTGGCATATGACCATGTTCTTGCAATCTTCTATTCATCTCTTCTACCTTCACATATATCTCTTCCAATTGTGGGTATGTTTTGTCACCAATAATGAATTCATGCATAGCACCATTTGTCTCGACCAAGCTACTTCCAGGCATTTTATGAACCCCATGATCTTTCATCAATTTTCACACCCTTTTCACATCATCCCACCTATTCATGCTTGCATACAGATTAGATAAAAGCACATAATTCCCACTAATCTCTGGTTCTAACTGTGTCAAGTGGGATAGTGCAAGTTCACCTATCTCTAAATTGCCATGAACTCTAGCTGCCCCTAGCAAAGACCTCCACAAAATTGCATTAGGCTTCATGGGCATTGTCCGAACCGTTTCCTCAGCCTCCTTAAGCCGCCCGGCTCAACCTAAAAGATCCACTAGGCACCCACAGTGCACAATTTTTGGCTCAAGTCCATATTCCACCTTCATACACTCAAAATACTTGCAACCTTGGTCAACCAACCCAACATGTGAGCAAGCACACATTATAACTACCATTGTCACATCATCAGGAAGCAACCCATCAAGGTTCATTTTCTTGAAAAGTTCAAGTGCCTCGTTCCCATGACCATGAATTGCAAACCCTCTAATCATTGCATTGTAACACAATGTGTCTCTATCAGGCAATTGACCAAACAACTGAAATGCAAGTCCGAGACATCCACAATTTGCATAGAAATCAATCAAAGCCGTGCTTATGTAGTGGTTTAATTTGAGACTCTTCTTTAATACATAAGCATGTGCCCATGTGCCTTGTCCAAATGCACCCAAATTACCACAAGCACCGATTAAAGTTACCATGGTAACCTCATTAGGCCTAACCAGAGACTTCTGCATATCATTGAACAAGGACAGAACTTCTAATGACAAACCAGTATTGTCAATATCATCACTACTAATGGCATTGTGAACACAATGTACACTAGCATTACGAGCATAAGCAGATAATATAGAATTCCATGTAGCTAAATCAGGGTGACTGACTTGATCAAAAAGGTACCTTGAAATGCTCACTTTGCCAATTATGGAGTAAAAATTGAGCAATGAGGCTTGAACAAAGTGATAATAGGAGGGCTCACAAAATTTCAAGACATGGGTATGTAAGGCTCGACCATATTGGAGCCATGGGTGCGATCTACAAGCCTTGAATAGAGATGGGTATGTATGGTCATTGGGTTTGAGGTTGGTATGAGTGAGAATGCGAGAGTAGAGAGAGAAGGCTACGTGGGTTTGGTCATTCTGTGGATGGCTTGTGAGAGATGTGATGAGGGTGTTGAAGATGAAGATGAAGATGGTCGGGTGAGAGGCTTGGTTGAAGATGGCTAATGTGTAGGATAAGGTGGCTAGGGTGGAGGATAAAAGAAGGATGCGACTGAGAGGGTAGGTGTGGAGGATCAGACCTGTTGTGAGCATTTGGGCATGGACTTGTTTGAGGGTGTCTATGCTTTTGCATTGTTATAAGAGTTGGAGGGTTGGGTTGTTGAAAAATGGGTTTGTGGCTTTCATGGAGTGGAAGTGATTGAATGTGTGGGTTGCACAAAGGCACTATATATGTATCTTGTGAGTGAGACAGAGAAGCGGAAGGTTCGATCACATCACTTAAAAGAGTTTTTTTACGTATGTACTTATTATTTTATATGGATAATGTAGTTACAAAATAATGGTGTAAATCAATGTGGTGCAAATAATGAACAGATGGAATGATTAGTAATTGACTATCTGGATCTGAGCTACAAGGCTCGAAAGTGCAAGGACTGGTATCGATCAGAAATTGGGGGATTGACACAATAGAATTATAGTGGTTCACCAGTTCAGCAGCTCGGCTAATCCACTCTTCAATAGAAATTCTTGCTCATTTTTCCCTTTATTCATCATTCAGAAGGTTTATTAGATAGAGTATATGTTACTAGAGTTTTTTTCTCTCTCGCTTTGGGAGAGTTACATAATATTTATAGGGCTGTTCTTAGTTCTATGAGATCTGTACCGAGATCCTTGCTATTTATCCAAGAAATTCTCCTTAATCTTAGAAGAGGATCATGGCTGGTTAAGGATTTTGTACCTTGAATATGACTTTTTGCCACCTAACAGATTTATGTTATCATCCAGTTATTTCCTTATCATTTTCGCTTTTGGCGTGCCTGGGTGGGGGGGGGGGAGCTCTTAGCTCTGACCTGGGCTCTGCTTGTCTTTTCTGACTTCTTTTACAGACCTGCTTGTCTGACCTCTTAGTCTGACCTCTTGGACTGACCTCATGCCTAGAGATTATTCTGAGTACTATCAGTTGCCCCCCCAGCCCTTGTTCTAGTTGAACTTGAGTAGGGGCTGAGCCGAGGCTTAAACAGGCCTGACCTGCAAATGCAGACCTCGATTTACGCGCGAACAGGTTTTTAACGATTTTAGACAATCATTTCACTTCCTAGGTTCTCGAGCACGTTCTCCACTCTGTACTGTTAGCTTAAATGTTTTCCAAATTGAGAGGGAGCGGTTTATTCCATCCTTTGAACTCCCTCTCTGTACTTTTTTCCTCTCTTCTTTCTCTGACTTTCAATTTTTCGATTTTGCTGGTGCCACTAGGGCTTTGCTGAGGAAACGATTTTCCCTGATTCAATCCGAGGTTTCAACGAGATTTGCTCTTTGCCCTCGATTCTAGATTTGGCCTATTGTTCCTCTTTTCCTAGGTACGCTTTTTACCCTCTGTTTGTCTCCGTTCTAGATCCCTCAGATTTGAGGTGGTTCTTGTATTTTTGGACCTTTCAATTTTGCTATTTTAGAAACCGAGGTTGATCGCTATCTCAAATTTCCCCTTTTTGGACCCTTATTCGACTGCTAGGGTCTTCCTTATTGAGAATTGTTATGTTGTTCTCCAAATCCTTAGGGAGTGTTTCACGAATATTCCTCCCCTCTATAGTACATTTTGACTCCCTTTTTCCTGCCCCACCATGTCTACCTCTTCTTAAGCCACCCCTTCCTCTATTTCCCTTCTGGGGGATAGGACTGCTGAAAACACCTCGGACTTAGGCGAGGTAGATGAGAAAATTGATAAGTTCCCTGGGGTTGATTATGTTGAAGTCGAGGGAAACACCGAGGAAACTCCCTTATTTGCCCCCCTGCGCCCAAAGATTCTAGTAAGGGCAAGACTAAAGTGAGCGGAGTTGGTGTCTTAGCCAGTGTCAAAGATGCAAGGGCTGCCTTTAAAGCTGCTGAGCTCGCAGGCCCCAGTGAGGTTAGTCTACCTCTAATGAAGGTCCTTAGTGCTTGTTTCGATTTTTCCCGAAGAGTTTAGTTCTGGTGCCCGAATAAGTTTATTCCATATGTCCCCCAGGTCCATAAGAATGTTTCTTTAGATCGGGCATGTGACGCACATTGTATTCAGTCTAAGAGCGGGTACTATCATTTTCAAGATTTCTATTACTTATTTGTCTCCCCTTTTTTAGAGATCGCCTTATTATTTTCCCAATTTTGATTCCATACTTTTGTCGCCTTCTTCATCTTCTTGTTATATTCTTCTTCATTGTTTAAAGAGAGAATTGTTAATGATGCCGATGGACTCTATAATTCTGAGATTGACTTAGTTTTTTTTTGCCATTTTGGAGAATATCTTGGCCTTCATTTCTACTTCAGTTGGCTCCCTTTGAGGATTGCAGGGCAGAAGGTTGAGACGATAATATCATGTGACAGTAATGATAGAATAGACTATTATACTAGCAATCTCACCCTAACCATGCTAACCAGATTGTAATGGACCATAAAGTTTTGATTTAAGTTGCCTGTTTCATATAGGGCCATACATGGGCATAGGCTTGGGCTTTAGGTGCTGGCCGATGGGTCCAACATGATTGAACACAACAAATATAAGTATGTTTTCCTTTGGGAAGGTTCCCAACAGTCGAGTGGTTATTTTAACTATTGTAACCCATCCAACAACCATAAAGGCCATAGTATGTGGGCAAAATTTGTAATTGTATACATAATTCATTGGACATTCCGTGGGACATGTCTGTGCAAGATCAGGCCCTGTTTGGTCTGGCCTATGGACAACTTTAGTTTATGTACGAAAGAAAAATCTTGTATCTTGAATTGAAAGTGTCGAAAAGACGGTGTGTAGTTTTGAAAGAAATGAACAAAAGTGCACCTCATGCTTGCAAAACGATCAAATTGTCAGAGACCAAGGGTTGACCGGCCACAAACAATGTATAAGTCAATAAAGATTCTGAGAATAAACAAGCAAATTTGAAGGGAAATAAAGTGGTGTTTGATAAAACTAAAAGGTGAAATCTAAAAACTGAAAGTTGAAAGTTGAATACTAAATTTGTGGATTATTTGGTACCCACTGAAATTTAAGTATTGAATTAAATCAAACTGTCTAATAACTACACAGAGCTCACGAAAATAAATTAATTTTCAGTTTTACCTTTTCACTCTTCAATTTAAAAATATTTATAAAATATGCAGAATAAGTGAAGTGTGTATATATGTATATATATGTGTTGAAGTATGCGTGTTGTAGTATGCATGTTTGCATCAAACAAGAGAAGAAAAAATGAAGAAGAAGAAGACAAGGGAAGTTGATGGTTGAAAAAGACTTACCTGTCATTGAAGAAAACGACCGGCAAGGAGGATAAATGAGTTAGGAGTTATTGAAAGAAGACTAATTAGAGTTTTAATTATAGGATTATAAAATATTTTGAGGTATAATTGTCATATTATAAATATTATTAAAGATAGTTTTGCTTAGTGTTTTCAACTTTCAGAATTAAGTAATAGATCTCCTATTTAATATTGTAGCCTATTTTTAAGAAGTACTTAACATATTAATTCAGGTTAAATTTTAGTTATCAAACGAGCTTATTTAATAAGTACCGAATATATTCATTTTAAGGGTTGAATTTAGGTTAACAAATACACCCTTAGACTTAAGTTTTATCTGATACTTATAGTGGTTTGTACTCTCTTCTAGGGTTTTAACCATTGACTGTACTAAGAGCAACTTCAACCACGCTCAATAAAATAGTTATTCAAAATATATTTAAATATTGTATTCTCTATTTTAGCTATCCACTTTTTCAAATTCACTTCAATCACACTCTCTATTTTAGTTGATTACTTCAACTAACTTTAACTAATTTTTCATAATATAATTCAAAAATTCAACTCAAAGCATGTATAATAATCAACCCAATCAAAATCATACTATAATAATAATTCTAATTAAAATTTAAATAATACAACTTAATGGCAATTTAACATTCATCCACTTTAAATAACAAAAATTAATTGCACAATACATCTCATAAAATTAAGATTTTTCCAAATACTTACAGTAATATTTTTTAGGGGTCTAAATGTAAATATTCTATTATACATAAAACTAAGGGAGTTTTCAAAATTTATGGGAGTTTCAGAATTTATTAGGGGTTTCAGAATTTATTGGGGTTTTTCAAAATTTGGGGGGGGGGGGGGGGGGGGTTGGTTCAAAATTTATCAAACACTTGACAGACAAATTTAGCACATATGTGTCTGATGTACATACAAATTAAACAGTTCTGCAAAAACACATCAGAACCCAATTCAAAATTCCTCATCAACCCATGTATCTGCATTCCTTGATCAACCCATTCTAGAACATGCTTTCAACACCAACAAAAACGACCAGTGGTTTTCTGAGCTCTTGATTTCATTATTTGAGGTATCAAAATCATCTCAGGTTTCTATTTGGGCATTAGGGTTTCTTCGAATCAAGCACACAAAAAGAGAGAAAGAGATAGAGAGAGATCCATACCGGGTGAAGACGACCTCTGATAAAGACGATGGTGAAACCATAGGAAAGACGAGCTCTGATGAAGAACAATCCCAAAATTGGCGCAAAGCTCTAATGAAGAGCAACCCCAAAAATTAGTGCAAAGGGCAAATAGAGAGAGAACCTTGCTAGCTAGAAGTGATGAGTGAGAATGGGCGGAGGCAAAATAGCCAGTGGAATAAAGCCGGTTGGAGAGAAATTTTTTGGATTGGCTCAGCAAAATAATTAAAAGAAGGCATTTGTTGAGTCAATTAGAGTTGCTCTAAGTGGCACACCTCTCTTTTAGCTAAATATTTCTTAATTCATATAGGAATCTTTTCATACTTCTTTTCTTGTTTACCGGTACTTTAGGTCACATGTTTTTTATATGAACCTATAATTTGGGTGATTTTCTTATTGGCTGCCTAGCTATCCACTTTTGTTTGGATAAAACTTGATCTTCAGAGAATAAAGTCTTGCTTTATTCAAACTCTTCTTAATTCCACCTTTTGAGCACGCTTCATTGGACTCTCCAGGGGTCTGTTCGGTAACTTTCTTGCAAAGAGAGTATTGACATAATAGTTTGGATTCATAGGATAATCGAAATCTTAAGTGGAAGCAAGGGTTAATGATGGTT